TAGAAAGCATGTCATAAAGTAATATTTTCTCATGTTAGATCACACATTGAAATAATTACTTACGTTCTTGGGCAGCTATTGGACTTTTCTACAGTTCTTGTCAGCTCCTTAACTACATCCTGTACACTATGGCGTATCTCTTCTGCATAAGCTGGTAAATTTTCAAAATTTTCGGCCTTGGTAACAATTGGACATGCTGAACGGAATTTTTCAGTCAGTTCACTTTCAATGATTTCATCCGGATCAATAATCAAACGCCGTGGGAACTATAACTGTTTATTTGCAAAAAAAAAAAATTATCCATATGACTCAATTATGATAAAAATCTCAGGTAAAATTTTTACAGTTCACTTTATACAAATTTAAATTCTATCAAATTTTCCTTTCCTCCTAACTGATACTTTTTGGTAAGTTTATAATATAACTGAAACATTAGACATGACGACAAGACGTAATGATTTAAACTAAGAAACCAACCTTCTCGTTATTATCTAGATCACCAATTGAAAGCGGGATGAAATGAGCCTCCGTAGTTAGAATATAGTTATCCACATCAACATATAAGTCTGATGAATCTGTGAAGATCATATACAAGTACTTGAATGTCTCGGAAAGCACAAAAGAATCCATTCTGAAATACAGAATTTACAAAATTCTTATACATAATTTCAATGACTAAGAAAGAAGAAAAGGACTCATCCGGTAACATGAAATTTATAAGCAGAAACCATAAATTGAACATAAAAATACAAAATGAAACCAATAATATCTACCTATCTTCATGCGTCATAGATCGAATATCTTTAACTGCAGCATATCCACATTCCACTCTTAAATATTTATTCATACTATCCACAATCTGAAAAATATATTCATTGTTAAAAATAATTACGAAGTGTAGCCATGAATAAGTCCATAATTGAAATCATTACATTTTTGGCTACTCTCAAATAATGCTCATCCTTTGTCGCCCTGTATAATAAATATGTGCTTTCAATGAATTCAGGTCGAATAGGATGTTGAGCCCAATGCACTTGCAAATCGTGTGTAAACGCTTCAGGTAAAAATTTATGTCTCTGCAAAAAAAACTTAATTCATCGAAAGTTTGTTCTCAGAATCGACGTATAATCTTCACAGAAAGATTGCGACCTAATGTTCATACATCTTGAGAGCAAAGAATTTCGGATTAAAAAAAAAACTTTACACTTTTGAATAAAAATAGATATTTTTCTTTTCTTTTTCTACGAAATAAATTTCAAGCCCAAAAGTGTTAGCAATAAGGTACCAACAGTAGTAATTATCAAACCCTCGACCTTGATTACTTGATATAATATCTCATGGAATTCGATAGCTGCTTTCAGATCACCCTTCAAAACTTGAATACCAGGCCAAAATGCTAGCAAGGAATCCATATACGTTTTGGCAGCAACTGTAGGTTTATGCATATGGACATCAATAAATAAAGGACCTTTGTTGATGTACTTCATTATGGCATCATAGTGCTGAAATGCATACATCATTCATAACTTCACAAAATCAGAATTTATTTATGAAAAACTATCAAATATAGTTTGCAAATACTTGACGCATATGCTGTCCGCTTGTATAAAGATATATAATGGAATGAATCAGTTCTCTAAACAATCAAAAACGACAACCTTATTAAAGCGATATAAATATCCTTCATCACCCAACAATATGTATGCTTTCAAACAATACTCATAGTATGAATCAATTCCAGCACCGATACCCGCATCTGCAATAGCCTGAGATATTTTCAAAAAACAAAGTATTTGGTAATAAACAGTATTCTAGAAATTTGATTACATGCAACATGTCTGGAAGCCAAGTTCTCAAATAACAAATTTCACATTGCTAGCATCATAATGCTGCAACGCATGCATATATAATAATAATTTCAAATCCAGATCCCAAGAAAGATTTCAAGCACTAATACAAATCTATCAACCTCTCCTTATCCAGTCTCCGGAATGTACATTTAGAACCGTTCCCATTAAATCACTGCTGCGATGTCTTTGAGCCCAAAGAAAATCCATTGCTTTTCGAGCTTTTTCCTCGTATACTGGATTACCCGTTAGTCGGCTTAACGCAGCAAATTCAAGGATCATCGTTCCACCACAAGCTGTACATGTGTCATGTTGGAGTCGAAGATAATTTAACATTCCATACTTGAGATTTATCTGTAATTCAGAACAAAAAACATTCTGCATTTCTAATTTTTTCATATTTTTGATACAATTTTTTGTGCTAAAAGAATGAAATTTTCTATGCAACAAATTAAAATCTACAGGTAGAAATAACGGTGGTTCATAAAATTCTGTTTCAGTGCAACAAACTTACTCTCGAATAAGGAATACCACTAGTAGTATTAAAAGCAGGAATCAGCTTATCTGCTAATTTGGAGGCCATCTGAAGTAGTTCGTCTTTGTACCACACCAAGCGATTTTCATCTCGTGACTGCACCAATTTAGCCATAACATGGCCTTCAAATGTAGTATGTTTAATGCTCTCACTGTTATTATATGGGAGATTTAAAAAAATAAGAATAAAAGGTTGGTTTAAAAAATTGTTGAAGCCTAGTTTAAAACCTGATGCAGATGCAATTAAAAATTTGCTGAAAAAACGATAATGAGTGAATTCAAAATTATTATTTTAAAACATGAAAGTATCAGTCCGAAAAAAAAGCTTATTGAATGAGATGATCAAGCAATTAAAGAAAATAAATACAAATTGAAGAAGTCAAAAGCATCAAAATAAATAGCTTGAAAATCCGATGATTTACCAGATATGAGTCCTCCAACCATTCTAATATTAGTTTCAAAGACTGATACAACCAGATTAGAATCGAATTGAACATTTTTCACAATTAACTCAACAGACTTTTCAAATTCATCCAGCTCATCCAGAATAACTAACGAATCCAAAGAATCAACGAGAGTTAGAGAAAAACTGTAATGAAATTAAATATACTTGATTTAAACGTGTATGTAATCAGTTTTTAACAATTTTTACAAATTTTTTTTATCTGAGCTTCATTTCATCTTACTGTTGTGGGATCAAGTGATCAAAGGTATTTATGTCTCCTGGGTTTTTAAGATTCATGCAAATCATTCTAAATAAAAACAAAACTACAATTACGTAGTCAGTGAAGCTTAGCTGTAAAGCAAAACATGCGAGCCAGGAGACTATTCTTGACTTCAAAACAGTGCAGAGGATCCATTCCACACGTCCTTTCTACCACCTAACTCTGCCCAAGACAGGAATCGAACCTGTGTCGCCACGGCCACAACGTGGAGTACTAACCACTATACTACTTGGGCCACTAATTTAACCAACAAAAATGACTCAAATTCCTCGTAACATTTTAAAATATAACAACCTCATGAACAACTCCAAAATATTCAATTATAAGAAGCCAATAATAGAACCAATTTAGAATCTGAATAATATAACAATTTCTAATCCATCCATAAAAATATGATAACCTCAAAAATGCAAAAACATTCACATTACATCACTCAATCAATCCCATAACGATAAAATATAATAAAGCTCAGGTAAAAAAAACTAAAATTAACAGTCGAATGAAAAAGCAGTTTAATTTTTTCAAATAACATTACAAATTTGGACATGCTGAAATCTCTGAAAATTTAAAATGCTTAAACAAAAAAGGATGGAACCAAAACTTTAGTAAAAATTCATACAGTGCGAACAATACGAAATTAGAAATAATTAAATAATAATAATAAAATGCACAATAAATAACATTTGTGCTAAAAATATAGGACTAATCATTTAAAAAAATACAGTAAATATTAAAAAATTATACAATAAAACTTACTTTCCTAAAGCGTCATCGACATCTCCCCGAGGAGGTGTAACACCTCGTTCCCGTCCTTTACATGATAAAGGCATCAATTCATCATGAGGATAAGCAAATTTCATATATGAATTATACCCGTGCATAAACATCTCTTTAACTTGTAACCTGTAATACCATATTGGTGACAACAACAAAAGTAGAAATAATTGAATAACACAGAAATGAAGCATCTAAAACAATTATTCACTCCTGTACCAATACAATCTATAGACTACAATTCAACTCTGATCTGTTTCACAGCTTAAACTATCATGACTAGCAGAAACGAGCAAAGTGATAAAACTGTATTTGGTAGTTCGGTGCCCCCACTACTTGAAACTATAATTTAGTGCAATGATAAAAAATAATCAAAAATCTTTGAATCTTAAAAGATTAATTCTATTTCAACAATGATGAAAATTACCTGAGAGCATTCCTATCAATTTTAGCATCGTCACAAGTTACTTGGCATATTAGTAATTGAACAAATATGTGCACAATGTACAAAAAATGCAAGAGCTGAAAAAATGAATCCCAACAACTGCATATACGATTTAGCATTATTTGTTGAATGCAGTCAAGTTATCCGCAAGTAATTATAACCAAAACAATAACAGTGCAAGGCCAGCTTCACCAAAATTGCATAGTTCCACGATCAATCATCTAAAATTGTCCAAAAAATTATACATCTGAAAGTTATAATTCAAAAAGTGGTGCTATAAACTTCTCGTCCCACAGATATTTACACAAATAACAGTTAAATCAAATTAGCACAAAATTGTACGTGAAATTAGTACAAAACTTTAGTTGCGTGAGTTCAAAACAAACTAGTACGCTAATGACTAATGCACAAGACATGCCCATAAAATTTAATTCTTTAATTTATAATTCAAAAATTGCTATCCATTATTGCAAACTTTCTGGATGATGCTTATAAATAAAGCTCTATTTGTTGCTTACAGCTGAAAAAATATTTGATAAAATTTGTTTGTTTTTCAAATTTAAATGAAAAACCAAACAGAAAAAGTCATTAAAATTTGAGTGCTATCCAAGTTAATAATTCTACCTTTTTTGGACATTTTCCCAATAATGAAAAACGCACATTATTGAATAAAACGTAAGAGAATATTCAAATTTAAAATATTATCGATTACAGAAAATTAAATCTCAATCTCTTCAAAATAACGCTTTTACGCTACGTGATACTGACATTAGTCGTTAACTTATTGATCGCAAAACTTAATCAAATGAAAAAGTGAAACAAATAATTAATTTTAAATAAAAACGATAAATAACTTATAGAATGCATAACTTACTGTTATAATAAATTGATCGCAAAACTTAATCAAATGAAAAAGTGAAACACATAATTAATTTTAAATAAAAACGATAAATAACTTATAGAATGCATAACTTACTGTTATAATAATAAGTAAAAATGATAGTTTTAGAATTACTTTTTATTAAAGTACATATTATCAAGCAACTATCCTGTGGAAGACAACAGAAGTAATTTTTTCTCAAATTAATCTATTATTATTCTAATTTTGTGAATTCAATAATAAGTGAGTTAAGACTTAAATCACAAATATCTGATAAATAATACGAAGGCGCATAATATGACTACTTTTCACTTCATCAACTACTGCTTTCAATGATAACAATTTCAATAGTTTCGTGATGAATAACTTATCCAACTACTTGTTATCACCATTGAACAACTTTGTAGTTCGCACTACAATGTGTGCTCATTTTCACATAACGTAATCGATTTTACGTCTGAATTCAGGCACATTATAAAACCAGTTAAGCCGGTATTATGAATCTGAATTAATTCTACCAAAACTATAACGTAATCAAAATCAGTCAAAATATTGATAATAGAAGCAAATATTAATAAATATCATAAATATGCTCTAAAACAAGTAACAGTTATTTCAGAAAGCAGTAATAACAACATGATGAAAAACATTTTTCTCATGGAATGAGAAAGCAGAATGTATCCACGTATTCTCTCATAACTTATTGATTATTCCTTAATAATTTGAACTTTTGCAATTCAACAAAATTCTACTGAATCTGTAAGCAAAATAACAAAACTAATAACTAATAATCAACGTCTTTCTATTTACAAAAGAATTGCTCTCACGTGGATTTTGACTTATACATATATCTTTTCAAAATTTAATCACTTTGCAAGTTTGATTTTAATTTTAAGAACTGGTCTGTAAGCAGTTAGCTATATATACATTTGTATATCAGAGCAAAGAATATATGACAAGTTTTTATATCTTAACGTCAAATTTACATATAGCAATAGGTTAAGGTACAAAACAACCTGACAACAATTTTACAGAAAGTAAAATAAATTTGTCCGCTTCAAATCTCACTGCTAAAAATTCTACTACTTATTCTTGCTCATGGTTTCTAACTCAATCAAACTTTGTGGCAATAAATTTGAACGATCTAAATTTTAATGATAATTTGTAAAATTTATTATAGTACTTAAATACTACATTACCAACAATAAATAATTACTTGCATAGAAGTTAATTTATTCATAATATCATTCAGAATAAAAACTACATCAAAACATTTAACTTACAAAAAAGTCAACTGAACTAACGTAACGAAACAACTACACCATTATTTAATATTTACGCTGATCACTAAAACTGTGCAGTAATCATATACGGAAAAAACCAGTACCAAAACCAGATCCCTCTAACGTTTCATTCGGGGAATGTGTCACTCCTTACCTTTATAATTCATACATAGTCGACGAAATTGTATCACAATTTAATCTTTCATCGAGTATTGTTTGTTGGAAGTGAGGTGTTTACTCTGCTTGAACAATATTGCCAACTTTTATTGCATTCTAATATGCACTATTTACTTTATAAAATATGCAACCTACGACGTATACATTTCTCACAAAACATTTCTCGCAGTATTCAAACTTAGACGTGTTGGAAATATGCTGTATATCATGAAAGGCTTCTTCAGATTGTAATAACGAATGTATCTCCCTTAATATATGCACAAGAATTGATTCATTTTCTAGTTACGACAATTAACACAGCACAGAAGTATGATTTCTAATTAATAAATCACAAGTCAAAATAACAACAAATAATAGTTAAGGTTGTTAGCGCTGAAATTCACCTCTACTGTATTTCCAGAATTTGTATTGCTTTTAGCAATTTAACAGTAGTAATAACAATGAAACAGCTGGTAGTGCTGAGCAAGTCGAAAGTTCATGCTGGTACCTCTCGTGCAAGAATGCAAGGAATTTACCAAAGGTCCACATTAAACACATTGTAATGAACTATGACTTTAACAGTTTTCTTGTTGACATTTTACTTGATACATATATGACCGCTCTTATCATTTTATAATCAACCTACAACTTAGACTAAACCAAACCGTAGTTAATATTTTCTCATCTATATTCAAAGTACGCATTGTCAGAAGCAAAAAATTTTTTACCAAACATTTGAAGTAATCATAAATAATGCTCTGCGAAGTACAGTGGGAGGCCATATGTGAACAAATAACTGGTTTTAAATCAAGAATTCGACTAGTATCATTTCTTATGAATGTGCCTATGATTCCTGAACTAGTTTGTTTTTCTTACAATGTACGTCTACCACATCTTGTGCTTATCACTCTATGCAGTTCAAAATATGTCAGTCGCCACTAGTACAAGTTGTCAAATTGGGATTTTAAAGTTCGTCAGAGGCTATCCTCAGCTCCAAATTTCCTACTCATTCTGTAGACAAAGCTGAATTAATTAAACAGCTGATGACAATTTTGATGCTTCTAACATCTCATGCATCGCTAAAAATCTTATTAAGCATTCTTTCCTTCCGAAAAAATGCAAAAGTTCCATGACTGGTGGCCCGTGCGGCGAATCAATAAGTGCTAAGCGAATAATTCTGAACACTTCTGCATAGCGAATACTATGTGCTGAAGATAACTGCCTAAAATATGTCATATCCCAAATGTTAGAACCTATCACATCTTTTAGAATGGACGATGTGAGCGACACGTCATACTCAGAAAGCAATTTTTCTGCCTTGACTGGTCTCAGAAAATAATATTTAAAGTCGCTATCAGTAATCTGCTCTAAATAACAAAATTTCTGGTCTGTTCGTTCAAATAAATGGAGCACTCTTTTCACGTAATCGGAATCGGTGATAATTTCCGCTGCAGCTTCTGGTACTGCTCTCTGGAGACGTGCTATGATCTCTGGCACTAAATGCCTGTCAACGTCAGCATTCTGCAGTGCTTTAAAACCATAATTATCAAGTACCATTTGATCCAGCTAAAGTTTATTAACTACAATTCTCTTACTCAAATAGTAATAGGTTTGAATATC